ATGTTGTCCAGTAAGTTTGACATGAAGGATTTGGGTGTTACAGATGTTATACTATAATTAAAATTTTTAGAACATCTGGTGGACTTATATTATCTCATTCACATTATATTGAGAAAATACTTGAGAAGTTCGACAAAGATGAAAACAATATTGCTAAAATACCAGCTGATATAAATTTTTATTTGTCTAAAAATACTGGCTAAATCATATCACAATTGAAATACTCTTGTATCATTGACAGTCTAATGTATGTCATGAACTGCACTGAACCAGATATAGCATACTCAGTTAGGAAATTGAGTAGATATATGAGTCATCCGGGAGTAGACCATTGAAAGACAATTATAAATGTTCTTAGATACCTAAGATATACTCTGAATTTTGGATTGCACTATACAAGATATCCAGTTGTACTTGGAGGGTATAGTGATGCAAATTGGATATTTGATACGAAGGATACAAAATTCACAAGTGGTTATGTTTTTACACTTGGTGGTGCAGTTGTATCTTGAAAATCTTCTAAGCAAATGTGTATTGTCAGATCCACAATAGAATCTGAATTTATTGTTTTAGATAAAACAAGAGAGGAAGTTGAGTGATTTGCCAATTTCTAGAGAATATTCCAATATGACCTAAACCTATGTCAGCAATTTGTATACATTGCGATAACCAATCTGCAATTGGTAGGGCACAGAGTGATATGTATAATGGTAAGTCTAGACATATATGTCGTAGACGGTTAGACAATTGCTCTTAAATGAGATTCTTTTTATTGATTATATAAAATCAAAGAATAATCTAGCGGATCTGCTTACTAAAAGTTTGATGAGAGAGCAAGTAAATTGCACATCGAGGGGAATGAAACTAAAACCTATGACATAAGAGTCACCTTAATGGCAACCCAACCTAATTAACTAGAGATCCCAAGATCTACGTTCAAATGGACAACTGAATTATGCGTGATTCAAAAGAAGCACTTATGAGATAATCTTTTTTACCTATTCCTATGATAAACTAGTGTTGCCGGCAAAGTGGATTATGGTAACCTATGCTTTTAATGATTTTTATACCTTGAAAAATATAAGTGGGATACTGCAGGATATTCCTAATAGGAGTCACCTATATGGGTGTGAAGGAGCCGCTTCTGTGAGAATTTATAAAGATTGAATTTTCTAAAGCACTCATGAAAATTAGAAGTTGTTCAAGGCCAAAATTAATACAATTATGAGAACAAATTGTGTTAGGAAATAGACTGTGTGAAGTTTATTTGATCTGATTTATCAAACAGCTGAATAGTTCAAGATATTACGTTCACTATTTAGTCGATAAGTCTGATGGACTTTTACTAAGGAAGGTTCAAGGCCAAAAACTACCTATTTCGATACACGATTTTTTCAAAGTTGTACTCTCTATAGTGTGTCAGCATTATCATTTGCATACTAACAGCTAATTTTCCATTCATGTGGGGGATTGTTGGACCAAAAATAGTTTCGCAAAACAGTTACTTAAGTGTAAAAACTGAATTTTTGGTTGACTTTGAGCCTAAATTAAAGTGGAACCCGTTTGTTGTTTCGAATAAACTTTTGTGAGTTCATATTCTACTCCGTAAGGAGAATAATGTAGCATATTCACTTGCTCAAATCAAGTAAGAAATGAATGAGAAAATAGGCTCCAAAGTGACACCCTTAAAATGTGGAAATAAAAGTTATGCAATGTGAGAATTGACACCAATCCCACATTGGTAGATTAAGAAATTCTAAATGAACATATATAAGCCAAATTTGCTCTATGGGATTGGGCTCTAAGGGGTATCACAATTTCATGAGCAGAACGAGCGTCTACATGGGCTCGAGCTCAAGTGTGGTTTAGACAAAACTCTATCTTTTTTGGAAAAAAATCGTTTAATTAATTGGGTGTGAATTTTTTAATCCAATATTTAATTTCGGTATCTGTTGGATCACACTGGTTCAGATTTTTTGCTTCTCTCCAATCCAAAATTTGAGTTGTGTTTGTTCATACATAACATATACACAAGTGGTGTCTTCTGGCTGCATGTGACTACTGGGTTGCATCCGTTCAGATGGTGACTGTCTGGATTAGTTACTATTCTCTCTATAAATAACTCAGTCACATAATCATTTTGCATCAAATACATTCTTAGTCATTTAAGACAGTCTCATACATCATTAAGACAGTCTCATTTGGAGAGTACACAACACAATTTCTAATTCACTGGACGAGTAGATTGGAGTGGTACTTCTACTTGTGTGAAGATCATTGTATCTTGGGAGACAGACGCTTGATATTCCATAAGTACCGTGTGTGGAGGTGAAATCTGTCTTAAGGACGTAATATCAAACAGTAGCCTTGATCTACCTAAAGTTCAATAATAGTTTCTGTTCTGCAACCGGAGTAGTATTTATATTGTTTAAATAAACAATTACATGTAATTATTTCAATAAGATTGCTGTAACTGTTTCATTAATTCTTCTGTAACTGTTTCAATTTTCTGTGTAACTGTTTTGCACTTGATTGTTATTGTTTTGTTATATATTACATGTTTTAAATCAGAAATTTCAATAAATGATTTTATTATATTTGGAAAACCTCAATCAATAGGTACATGTGAATACAAATATTGAAAAGATGACATTAATGAAGGTATCCAATCTGGAGACAAACATGACATTGAGGCCCACACACTTTGCAAGCTAGTCAAGATAGTATACATTATATAGATATGTATAGATTTATAGAATTGATGTTTATTAATGATTATGGAACTTTAGTAGTTAAATATATACAACAATAAAGTGTATATAATGGGACTTTTCCCATATTGCAAGGTGTGGAAAAATAATAGACTTTCAAATCTCTTGTTTTACTCTCTTTGCAGAAATATCAATTCTCCTTTACGTAATACTCCACAATCCTAAGCTACCACCTTTATCCCACCATGTCACCGCCTTCTGGTTGTTACATGTTAGTAAATTGAGAACCAACATTTTCATGCCTGTGTGTGTGTGTGTAACTGGCTAAATAAGCAGAGTTGAATTACCAACCAATCAAGATAATGTAGGTTAGGGTTAACTACACACATAATCAAATATTACAGCTGCCTCTGACATATTATCATCAATGTGTGATGAGCTCTCACAAATTGTGTCATCAAACGACTGTTTCGGAACTGCTCAACCGAAAATGAAAGAAATTTGAGATTAATTTCTTCCAACATCTCCAAGAATAAAAACATTACGGCTTTCACCCAGATGCAGTTTCATGAACTCTCTCATTTGGACCTTGTTTAACCAAGAAATGAGATACCATCTGCTTTAAAGGAAGAGCATAGTCCAGAAGAGCAGAAATCCTGGAACAAAATCATAGGAAAAAAAATAAATTCATCAGTACAGTCCTAAAGCCTTCAAAAAACAATTAATCAACATTCTCCCAAATTCATATAGTTTATCCTTACCAATCTTAAAAGCTGCAACTGTTCCAATATTTGAAATGATCTTTCTCACTTCCACCTTAAGCCGTGGTAGCCATTGAACTCAGAAGCCTCGCCTGCTTGCAAAGTTCATGGATTGTGAAGTGGGATTTTTGAACAAGCAATACATTATTCCATCCTCTTGAATTCTTCTACCTGAATTTCCCTTACAAATTGTTATCGAGCAACCAAAAGCCCTTCCCTGATGGAAGAAGAAGCTTGACCAAAACAAAAGGCAGCAGACAGAAGTGATGATGATCATCATCTTGCATTCAGACCAGTCCAATTCTTGAAAGCAATAAGTGCTTCCATTTTCTTGAAGTTTTTGTTCCTCAATTTTGACACTGAGAGCTTCTTATGTTTCTCCATGAATGCTTGTTTGTACCTCCACTTATCAAACAAATATCTTCATCTCCCGCAATTTCTCCACAACTTAAATCACTGCATCAAAGAAACCCCCCTTAACCAGTGCATACAGGAAGGTATCCGCCAAGCTATGATCAAATTTGAATCTCTTCTCTCCTTTCATTGAAACTTTTTACCTTTCTCTTGACCTCATTCCACAACATCAAAATGCTAAATCATTTCTCTGCAGTCATATAACCATTAATGAGTAAAAGATATGTCTGTCGTGTGTGCTCACTTCAACTCGAGGGTCCTCAACAACCTGATCCAAGAAGGCTGCCATCAGCTCAGGGCGATGTTTTTTCTATTGAGCCTGTCATTATGGCCAAGTAGCTCCCCTTCAAATCAGATATTCGGGTTTCTCCGAATCCTACCATGGAAAGCACTAATTTCTTGAGTCTCAGGTTCACGTAATACATTACCAGAGATGTTGAAAAACTCACTCTTTTCATTGATTCTCTCTTTAAACCATCCCCTTCAAATCAGGTATTGGGATAACCCTGAACAAGTAATGTCCATTGCTTTTTTGGGCTTTTGTTTCATTTTCTGGTGGTCATTTTTGTTTTTGTTGTG